CTCTCTGTCCATGCTTGACCTGGAACACAGTGGGGAGAGCAGGGGCTCTGGGACCAGCGACACCCAGTTCACAGCCGGTCCCAGGGCTGCCATTTATAGGCACGTGACCTTGAGCGGGTACTTAACCTCTCAGAGCCTCACCTGGAGAACAGAACCAGCCGTGGCCCGTGCCGACGAAGCGCAGCTCTGGTGCCACATCAGAGGCGTGGTGGTGCTCGGGCAAGTGTTCGGGGCGAATAATATTTTAATAATAATAATAATATTGGGTCGTCTCCCCCTCCTCCCTGCACCCTTGGTTCTGGCACGTGCGGTTCTTGTCCTCACTCATCTCTGAGGCTCTGTCCCCACCCCCGCTGGAGTCCCCTTCTCCCCTACATCCTTCTGGCCCCACTCAGGGCGCCTTTCGCCGAGGACCCTCGGGCCCCTCCGTAGGCGTGACCTGCTGCGTCCTCCGCGCCCTCCCACGGCACGAGCCTCGGGGGGTTTTACTCATCTCTGCCGCGTGTCCCAGGCGCCGTGTCCCGCTGTGGGTGGTCCGCGTCTCACAGGTCTCATTACTATGTGCTTTGCATGTAGCGGCTACTGAGCACGTGGCTTGGAGGAGCAGCGTGAGCTTCAGAACTGTGACCTCTGGAGGGCCTCTGTGCCGCTTTTGTGCTTCTTACTGTCCTCTGTGCCGGGACAGGTGAGTTGGGATGACAGGTACAGCCGCACGTGCCACCGTCCTCCACCTGGACGTTGCTGATACGTCACAGAGTTTCTCCTTGCCGAGTCGGGTTGGGGCCTCAAAATTCTTCTTAGGGCGGCTGCCTGCTGCCACAGCCCATCCATCCGAGGTGACAGGTGGCAACCGGCTCACCTTGACCTGTACTATGGAAAAATCACGCTAGCTGAAACAAAAGTGATTATTGATTGATCGATTAAAAAAATGTCTAAAGAAAAAAAGGATTTAGCTCCTTTAGGAAATCATAGGCAAGAAGGCAGGTTTAAAACTCGCGTTGGAGGGTTCTGGCGGGTTCGAGTGAGCGCCTGAATCAGGCACCGTGCGTGTTCACGGCCTCGGAGAAGGAGACATGCCCTGGCCGGCTGACTGCTCCCCGACAGCCGGGAAGAGGAACAGCGAGGAGAAAACGTGCCGGGCGGGAGCATATGGCCCCTCGAGGGCACAGACAGGTGGCGGTGACCAAGCCGTGGAAGCAGGACAGGCACTGGCCTGCAAACCAAACCGGAGCAGAAAGTTCGCGAGAGGGAGCTCGCTCCCCGGAAGAAAACAGGGTGCGCCCTGAATCCGTTTCCGTTATTTCGCTGACAAAAGCCAACACGTTACAAAGGGCTCTTCGTTCTTCTGCGGAGTCACAGAGCAACACCCGAAGGAACTTTCTGGAAGCCACCAAAAAGCCTCAGACGCCTCAGGGGATGCAGTTCAGTGAGGTGAGGCCTCTCGCCCAACCTCTGTTTGGCAGCGGGGGACCCAAGGCAGGGGCCGCGGTTCAGGTCACAGCAGCAGTAATCGGAGGGGCCGAGACTTGAAGCTGTCTGTCTCTGGAGTCCGTCACTGTCCCTGTGTCCGGTGTGTCAGGGCTACATGTAAAACGCCGCGTCGCCCCGTGTCACCCCCGTCATCACCGAAGCACGTCAGGGGCTGCACGAAGCTTACGTTTCGTGCACAGAGTGTTCGCGAAGGGTGCCAGGTCTGAGTCCAGACTCGCTTTTCTGTGCGTAGATGCCCCGTTGGTCCAGCGCCATTCGTTGAAAACACTACCCGTGTTCCTCTGTCCGGCCCTTGCTTTATTATTATTATTTTTTTTTTAACATAAGTCGACTCCATGTATGCGCGTCTGTTTCTGGGCTCTGTTCTGTTCCATCGATCCGTTGGTTTGTCCCCTCGCCGACACCACGCTGTCGTGATTGCTGTGGCTTCGTGACGAGTCTTGCGCGGGGCACCGTCCGGCCTCCACGTGCGTCCTCCTTCTGCATCGTCTTGGCCATTCGGGGCCTTTGGCCTCTCCGTGGAAACTTCGGGATCGGTTTGTCGATCTCCACAAAATAACCTGTTGGCATTTTGAGTGACAGCGCCTTGAACCTGTAGATCGAGTCGGGAAGAAATGACAGCTTGACAATATTGAGTCTTCCCACCTGTGACCTTAGAATATCTCTCTATTTAGTTAGTTCGCCTTGGATTTCGTTCATCAGAGCTTCGTAATTTTCCTCGTAGAGATCTCGCACATATTTTGTTAGATTTATTCCCAGGCGTTTCATTTGGGGGGCAGCGCTAGTGAAAACGGCATTGGGTTTTTAGTTGCAGATTCCGCTTGCTCGTGGCTGGTATGTGGGCAAGCGATGGGCTTTTGTCTGTGGGGCTTGTGCCCTGCAGCTTCGCTGCGATCGATGTGTGCAGCCCTTTGGCTTCCTCGTGTGGGTCTCCTGGAGCTAACCCCACGGCTTGGGAGGCCCGGAGTGTGGCCTTGGACGTGTAGGGCTCTGTGCCTCTGCTCACAGGTTACGATGCCTGCAGTAATCTTACCTGTCTGTCTCGCTGTTGAAACCTTACCCAGTGATGCCAGAACCCGATACCCCTCAGCAGAATTGGCTCCCACCTCCCAGTTCTGGGACACACGCTCCCAGCTGAATTCCAGCACTTTGCACGCTTTCCCTCGTCCTGGAGCAGCTCATTTGGGTCACTCTTCCTCTGCAGGCTGCCAGCTCCCCGGGGCAAGGACAGAGGCCTACCATCAGCCTCTGGGGAGCTAGGCACCCGGGGGTTAAAGTCAATTCATCAGGCTGAGCCTCGGGGAAACCAGGTCCCTGGGACCTTAGGGACCTCTCTGTCCTACCTTGTTTGGGAAACTCGTTTGGAGTGTCATAGACCAAAACGCATTAACGACGTTTTCTCTGCCATCCGTATCACCTGTCGTTCAGAGGGAGAAGCAAATTAAATGAGTTCAGCCAGACCTAACTAGCAAGGCACAGCCCGTCGACTGTCATGTCCACCACACAGCCTTCTGCCGGTGTCCAGTGTCTCTGCTCAGGCTCCGGGTGGTGCAGAGCCAGGGGACAGGGTTGCATTTTTCTTTCCAAAGCCCGATTGTGTGCTCCCTGATCTCCAGCTCTCAGACCTCGCTGGCGGCGTCAGGGTCTCAGAAGTGTCGCCCTGAGGCTGGTTCTGCGGTTGCTGTCAGCCCTCAGGGTCGGTCCTTTGTCTTTGCTGAGCTGGGTGCAGCCTCCCTCCACGGGCTCTGCCCCCCTGCCCCTCCTTCCTCTGGACTGGGCGTCACGCTTTTCTGGTCAAAAGCTGCCACTCTCCAGAAGGCCGATTCTGTTTTCTAAGAGTTGGTTTGAGGACAGTGTATTTTAGGCCTGTTCAGTTTGATCAGACATCACCTTCACTGTTACGAAGCAGCTTAAGATCCGGTTGAAGAGAGCAGTTCCATCTATTTGGTGACAACTCGTGCCACTCATTAAGGCTCTGCCCGGCACTACGAAACTCGCGCGGCACCACGCGGACGCTAAGTCATAGCACGTTTCCCGTTCGAAACCGTCTTAGTCCGTCGAACATCTTTTATCGATTCGCCTTGTTAGGCGAGAACGTAACCCTTATGGCTTCATAAACCTCCTCTACGTTCCAGGAGGTGCCATTTGGAACACGAGTGTAGTTGAATTAATAAGGCAGATGTCGAGCATTTAATTGGCCCTTCTCTCTCAGCGGGCTCTGTCAGTTCGGGGACTATCGTCGGAGATGATCCGATTCAACAGTGACATGAACCTGACAGTGGACGAGATGCTGTTGGTCTCTGGAGAGGAGAGGCTGGCTGGCTGTACAGAGTTAATGTTTCATAACTGGCTGATGTCATCGTAACCTGGTCTTCACAGAGTTTTCTACTAAAGTTCCTCGAAGAGCAGGGAGGGATAAGCAAGAAGGTGGTGGCAGCTTAACCTGACTGGCCCACAACATGGGCTTTAAAGCCTTGAGCCTCGTATTAAATGTTCAAGAGACTTCTGTTTTCTACTCCGTGTTATCATTTTTCTCCCAATCTTCAGCTAAGAGGGTTTGACTGGGGGAGAGGTGTCTTTTTATTTGGCGGTTTCTGGACCCCTCGGGCTCAGACTCCTGACTTGAGAAGCAAATATAAAAATGACAATATAGAGAAGATACCAGAGGAGAAATGAACCGTGATATATCCATTCAGTGGAATAGTATGCAGCACTGAAAAAAGGATTTCGAGCTATCAAGCCACGAAAAGACATGAAAGAACCGTGAATATATATCACTAAGGGGAAGAAACCAATCTGAAAAGGCTGCATGCTGGAGGATTCCAGCTCTGTGACGTCCTGGAAAAGGCGTAACTATGGAGACAGTGAAAAGACCGGCGGTTGCCAAGGGCTGGGGGAGGGAGGGATGAACAGGTGGAGGGAGCACAGAGAAATTTGAGTGACAGTACTCTGTACGGTACTGTCATGGTGGATACGTGTCATGATACATTTGTTCACACCGTAGAATATACACATACCACGAGCAATTGCTACTGTTACTGTAAGCCAGGACCGTGGGTGGTTATCGTGTGTCAAAGTAGGCGCACGGTTGGAAGAAATGACCAGTCCTGGCGGGTGATGCTAACGTGGTTCACTCGACGCCCTTAGATAATGTTGGATTTGACTAAATTTGGGGAGTTCTGAGCGGTGGCACATAATTGGACTTGGCGGGCGGCGGGGGAGTAATTCTGAACCCCTGAGTTTGTCAATATTGGCAAGTAGCGTTAGGATGCTTCCTGTTTCGGGGTCCAAAAATGGGCCGTCTGTGAAGACAGCTGTGAAGTCCCCTTTGGGTGAGAGGGTCACCCTCTGTCCCGGCCAGCGCCCTCAGGAAAGGTCAGCTCTGGAAATATCGCCTGCTTTACCCACGTGCATGCGATCTTCCGTCTCTACCACGCGCTGTTAAGACTGCCCCCTGGTGGCCAGTTGGCGGTGTGCTCATCCGTATTTTCTCTTGGCTTCCTCTCCAGCTGTGGCTGTTTACATCAAGGGGTCGTGGTGGTCCACGGAAGATGTACTCAGAACCTCTGATCCTGCAAGAGAAGGTCTGGTGAAGGTGAGGCGATGTCATTTTAAATGGCAGAACAGGTTTTAAAAGTCACCGTACTTACGAGCGTGTTGATAATAGGAAGCCGTCCAGCCCTGGGGATGCGTTTCCTGGGACTCTGCTGAGACAGAGCACCACAGACCGAGGGCTGACACAACGGAAACGTGTGGTGTCACAGTCCCGGAGGCTGGACATCTGCGGCCTGAGAATCAGCGGGGTCGGGTCCTTCCGACGGATGTGAGCGAGAGTCCAGCAAATTAACGCCAGCGTGAGGTTCGGCAGAGTGCGTTGGGCCCAGGTGGGGGCTGCGTGCTGGACGCGTGTGGGTGGCTGTCCAGCCCCTTCCGTGGACGGGCCAGGTGCTGTTAGCGGCTGGGATTCCGACTACCAGGAAGAGTCCGATTTGCTCTTTAAACATATGTTTCTGTCAGAACAAGAGCGGTCACTTCCTCTATGTGTCAGTTCTTCTAAATTGAGAGCAGGAAAACCCTCCCAGTTTTCAAAACCGTGCTGTGATGTCCCAGGTGTATGTGGGGTCGCCCCCTCTCCCTTTCATGGAACTTTGGGTGTTGACTTCTCTTTTTTCTTTTAATTACATTTAGTTTCTTAGCCGTCTCTTCACAAATTACCAAACACAAACAAACAAAAAGCTTTCGTGATGTTCTTTATGTTAACATAATTAGTGGTCCTAATCGAGGGCTTAAAACTGGATCTTAGTTTTAAGTTTGCAGAAACGTTTCTAAGTCAGAATCACATGTCACCCGCCTCCCCTCCCTCACCCTCCAATAACGAAACTGGACAGATTAAGCACATTTTCTTTTTTTCTCCTTTCTTCCTGCCAGTTTTCGATTCGATGTTTTCCCTTCTGCCAGAAACAATCTGCTTTTCTCTTCTGGCTTTTCTCTGAACTTTTTGGTTTTATAAATTGAAATTATAACCTCCCACATCATGGCAATCGGGTTTTGTGACTAGCTCGTTATTCTTAAAGTCTGAATTCGATTTGGCTGCCGCCGTCTGAGATAGAAATCGGGCAGCTTCTCCGAGTTAGCTGGTGTGGCGTTCACAAGTCTTTTCCTCATCTAAGACTTGGCTCCAGATGAAGGTGAAATATTTCACGTTCTGGGCCAATTAATAAGTTTATTGGCACTGAACACTTTGTGCCATTTGCTAGGATGATGCAGGCTGTCTCATTTTTATTATCAGAGTAACTGAAAGGAAAAAAAAAAACCATACAGATGTTTGAGAGACCAGGTAGGTGTAGTTGGTTTTTGTCTTTGACCACTGGAGGGAACTGAGGCTCAAAGAGGCTGTGAGTTGCTGAGGACCTCTGTCCGAGTGAATGTCGGCTGAGAAGGCACACGTGACGATGATGATGATGATGAGGATGATGATAAAGATAAAAATTTAAAAGTCAAGTATTAAATATAAAACCAAGCATTGATGCTTATATTAAACTTCCCTTCCCCAAAGTCTTGGTTCTAATGGGTGGAGATGCCGGAGGCATGGCCGGCTGGGCCCAAACAGGCGGCACCTGCTCAGCCTGCCTGCTTCTGACAGAGCCCTTGTCCAGCTGTCACACGTCAGGTCTGGAAAACCAGTAAAGGCAACCACACCCTCTGAGCTTTGATTTCCTGACCTGTAAAGCCAGACCTCCTGGCAGGTAGTGAGAATCCAATGGTGTCATGCGGGTGGAAGTCACCAGACGTGGTACTGCTGATCTCGTGGTGCTGCATAGGACGGGGCGACCAACACCCCCACACCTGGGCTGTCACATCTCAGTGTCCCCAGAGTAAAATCCATACAACGATACTGGCACTTTGTCAATAGTGGGTTGGTTTCATCTCAAGTGTCACATCTTAGCGGTCGCTCGGAGCTGTCCGGAAGACCGCGTTTTGGAAGATGCTGAGACTCTCGCCAGGCTCAGCCACTCAAGTCCGGATGGATCAGCTACGTCAGCTGGGGGCGTGGGAACGGAAGCGGAGACCTCCACTGGTGCCACTTTTTGCCTTGCCATACAAAATGCAGAGAATTTTAACAGGCAGCAGCATGACGTCGTTTGGGCTTGACGAGGATAAAGCTCTAGGAGGGCCTCATATGGACCACCATACATTTCCTTATCTGCCCCGACTTTGCTACGGGCAGAGACGGTTCCATACCTTACAGCCTTGGAAAGGAGTGGGTTTTGAGTCCCAGTCATTTTCTGAGATCGTGACTCTAAGCGTGTGCTTAAAATCTGTCGCACACCATTGAAAATCAGTCACTTTTGGGGTAGGAAATGATCTCCCCGATTTTTTACCCTTCTTCTGAGGGCCAGAATTCTGGGGCTTTTGTTAAAAATGGCAGATAGGGTTTATTTCTAGAAAACATCCAACAAATCAGCTGAAATGGTTTGCTCCCTTCCCTCCATGAGGTAACTTCCTGTTTCGTTAAATTGATCTCTGTCTACTTAGAGTTCATGTCTTGATCTCCGTCTACTTATAGTTCATGCTTTGGGGACCCACGAGGTTCTTGGCACCCCCCCCTCCTGGAGGCCGATTGGTGTGAAAGGTCACAGGTGTGAAAACCTCTGTGAGAAACTATGATTTGGCTCTTGAGCGTGAAAAGGATCACGTGACATAGGCGCACACCCCTGGCTCCGACGTGTGGGTGGGTCAGTGCCAAGCGCAAAATTTTTCACATCTCGTTTTTATCTCTCATCTTCCTTGGTCATTCTTTTTTCTTCTTCTTTCTCCTTCAAAGGTTCAGTCCTTCGGGGAAAGGATTGTGCTTTTCGTCCTAAACGTCGTTATTTTTGGAAGATCGGAGAGAAAATTGGATGACGATGACATGTTTTTCTTGCCTCACTCTGCGGAGGAGCAGGCTAAAATCCTGTGGCGAGACGGAGCAGCGGTTGGATTTTACACGACCAAAATGAAAGGTAAGGGTCACAGGGCAGTGCGGAGCCAGGGGCCACCACACTGAGAGTCAGGCCCTGGGGGGGCTCTCGGGATTCCCCGAGCGCTATCCCTGCTGAGAGAGAACCTTCCAGCACAGGAAATATCACCGGTTCAGCCGCCTTACAAATAAACCCAAGGCGTGGATTTCGTCTTCACCACGGTTCTCGTTTGACCGGCAAACAGGGTGAGAAGCGGGTCCCTGTGACTGCCAGGCCGTGCCACGTCCTGCGTAAGGTTATTTGTTGCACCTAATGGTGTAGCATGACTTTGCAGGCACAATGCTTTTCATTTCTTTTCTTTAATGTTACCGATGAGCCGTCAGGACACATACCATTGCTAAAGCTGGCACGTGGTGTGAAAGCACGCTGGATGCCAAGGTTTATAGACGTTACCTCAGCAGCGAGGGAGGCCGGCCATGACAGCCAGTTGGGGTAAAAGGTTTAGTTAACGAGAAGCGCGTGCGGAGCTGGGACCGTTTGCCCGAGGACTGAGGTCTCTGCTTTAAACTTGCTTTCTCGAACAGTTTTTGTTTTTGTTTTATTTTTAAGTTATCGCTGACACGCACTATCATGTGAGTTTCCAGCGTACGACACAGCGATTAGACATTTACAAACATCGCAAAATGATCACCCCAGTAAGTCTAGTGCCATCTGTTCTGTGCTTCCGTGGTGGTCATATGAATTCTTTGGCCAAGTGTCCGTTCACATATGTTTTCCATTTTTTATTGGGTTGCTTGCTTGCTTGCTTATTATTGATCTTCGAATGTTCTTTCTATGTTAGATATCAGTTCTTTAGCAGATACATATTTTGAAAACACATTCGTTTTGGCGTGATACTGTCTCTCAGAGTAGAAATTTTGAATGTTGATCCAGTCTGCCCACATCGAGGCAGGTCCTCGGCTAAGAAAAGCACCTCACTCCCAGGTCCGGGCTTGGATAGATCACATGGTTCAGAATATCTCAGGAGTGGATCTCTCTCTCAGCTCTGCCTTCTTTTTGTTGGGTCCTCTGGGGTCCCCTTCGCTTGTGTAGATCAGTTTGTAAGCCAGGCTTTGGGCAATTGCTCTGAATTTGCATCTGTCTCATTCCGCCATGACTTCCCCTTTATATTTCTTAGTCCAAACTCCTGATCTGACACCATTAGTGGGAAAGCTTCAGTTTTCTGAACCACGTTTTCTGCAGCCCTGGGGCTTGAGGTATATAGACCCTGTGGCCAGTAAGCTGCAAACTAACAAGTTTTATCTACTCCAGTTGCAATTTTCGGAAATTAAATTTTCCTCTGGTTTCGATGTGCTTTGGGATGCGTTATGGTGTCTCTTAATGATTTTTTGGAACTTACGTCTTTAAAAAGTTACTATTTATGGGAATTTGTATGAGCGTTACATTCCACCCCCCTTATTTGATGGGGGACTCATTTAGGTATGGATTGTAGAATTTTATTCCTTGCCTTCCCATCTCTTTCTCTAAGTTGAGAAGGCAAGGTTTATTTTTATCGAATTAAAAAATGGTTGATATTAGCAGCACACAGCTAAATTAAAAGGACTTTAGACGGTGAACAGATACATTTGATACTGTTTTATGATTTTACGCGATGGTTTCTGAAACATCACGAGCACATTCGTGTGATTTAGTTGACTGCAGGAGGAGTTCTAGTTCAGAAAAAGTGTAGAACGGTTAGAGACATTTCTTTAGCCTTGGCTCTGTCTTTGGCGCTTGTCACGGTGTTATATAGTGTCATTGTGCTGACGCTTAAGATATGGGCGTGGCACACGGCATGCTTCTCAGCTCTATGGCAGAACAATTCCTCTGCGTTAGTTTAGAGCACATGATTCAGAACATCTGATAATTCAGCTCGAGCTAGGCTGAAGCGGATAATTTCATTCCGTGTGGAAAAGAAGATGTGCAGTTTCGCTGTTTTAAATAGGATCACAGAGGCCGGGTTTTGTGTATTTTAAGAGCACACGTTGTCGCTCAACACATTCTTAGCACATTCATTTATGTGCGTGGCTTTTTTATTTAAAAAAAAAAATTATCAGACAGTGAAATGGACCCTGTTTTTGATTTTACGGTTCTATGATTCTTTTTTTTTTTTTTTACAAAACTTATTTTTCAGCCGTAGTTGACATACGACATTCGTTTCAGGCGTACCACAGAGCGAGCATACATTTTTGTACCCTGCGAAGTGATCTGCACCTTCTGAGCCATAGAGCGAGTCGCATAACTGCGACCACAGTTATAATACGGAATAATGTCATCATCCAAAAAAAACTTTTTCCCGTTGCCCCTAGTGCTTCTTCCTGCATCCCCGGCCCCAGCCCCTGGCCACCACTGCGGGTCTCAGCATCATGCCTTTGGGGTCCGTTGTCCTCAGTGGTTTCGCCCTTTTTATGGCTGAGGAGCACAGATCGTTTTAAAAACGCGTGGGCTCCTTCGTGTAGAATGAACGGGGTCTTTCCAGGTGTACCTCTCTTTGGGAACCTTCCGTCAAATGGTCTAGTTCGAGTTTCTCCCTTCCTCTGATGGTTCTATGATGGCCTTTCATTCAAAATATTGACCCTTTAATCATTTCACAATTTCATGCTGAAATCCTCTCTCGATAAGCAAAAGGCGTGAGGTTTTAAGTTTTTAACTTCGGCCCCCACCAGCCCACGAGACCACCAGCTTTCGAGGGAGGAAAGTAACTGCATGGGGGTCTAGTTCGAGTTTCTCCCTTCCTCTGATGGTTCTATGATGGCCTTTCATTCAAAATATTGACCCTTTAATCATTTCACAATTTCATGCTGAAATCCTCTCTCGATAAGCAAAAGGCGTGAGGTTTTAAGTTTTTAACTTCGGCCCCCACCAGCCCACGAGACCACCAGCTTTCGAGGGAGGAAAATAACTGAGTAGAGTCGGCCAGTTTAGGGCAGAGCGGGTCAATACTTTGCGGTTGTATAAAAATCTCAAAGGAACAGCTTTACCTTTCAGATTTCTGAAAGCCCACCACTCACGCAAGAGCAGCTCTTCACAGTATTCGGCTATGTGGTTGGCAGTCCGGACAAGCGTGTGACCCGTGAGATGGCAGTGATGCTTCGAAGTGGCCTCGGCTGCCCTGTCTGTCCAGGGCCACCTGCCCTTCCCTTGCCCCGACACCCAGTGCCACAGGCGCCTCCCGCCTAGCGTCCCATCAGGCGTGGGCCCCGCATGTGATTCTCCAGATGTCAGCAGAAACATCAGCGGCGAGAAAATGGAGAGGCGAGAGCCTGGCGGGGGTTCGGGCCCCTCGGGTGGCTTCCTGTGCTGCTTCTCACCCGGCGGCTGCTCCGTTCTGGTCTTGGGAAGCCAGCTCCCTTTTCTCGCTACGCTTCCCGCTTCCTTATAACTTGGACGTCGGTTCGCCATGCGGTCCACCTGGCCTGTGCCCACACCTGCCTTACGGGTGCGGGACGTACTCTAGTCCTACTTTTACTTCATTCAGACTCTTTTGGAAGAATAAGATTGGCCCAGCCGGCCTGTGCATGGGTTTCTTGTGGGTCATGGGTTTACCTTGAGCTCAGGTGTCTGCGTACAAGTGGGCTGGCTTTCGAGGCTCAGATATGGCCACCTGGTCTCAGCTCTTTAACCGAGGCTGTAGTAGAGGCAATCTGAAAGCAGGACCGTGGGCTGGGCAGAACCCCGTCATCCCCCGGGGAAGGGTCCCGTTTGGGAGGTCTCAGCCTGGGGTGGCATGCTTCAGTGAAGCCCCCAGGCAGCCCTGCATTGCTCCAGCAGGCTCCGCTCCGGGGGTTCACGTCATGGGGCTGCAGGCGCTCTGGGGCTGCACCCCCACCCTGCTGCATCAGAAACGCCAGCCATCTCCGCGTGACCAGGTGAGTCTCAGGCACTCTGAAGCCTGAGAAGCCTTCCCCGAAGCCACGCATCCTCAGCGGGGTGGCGTGGTCCTCAGGGCAAGCATTTGGCCCTGGGAGCAGAAGCTCTGAGACATTTCTGTGGCTCTTCAGAGTCCAGCTCCACCCAGCAAAGGCTCGCTCTGTAGTACTGAGGTGGGGTGGGGGGGATGACGGCGATTAGGACAAAATGTCTTTTGTGATTGGGACACCGGAGGCGTAGGGAGTTCGGGATATTTATAGAACGTTCCTTAATTCCGGTATCTCTGATGTTTTCTCCTGATTAGACGGGGCTTATGTGCTCGGGGGAAGGTGAGGTGCCCTTTTCATGGGCTCACATCATTTCGGGGGGCCCGGTGTCCACGTTACCATTGGCGATGTTCACCCTGCTCACTCGAGGGGCTTTGTCTTCCTTTCCATACTCCATAGTCGTATCTTTTAAGAACAATTCACTGTATCTTTTTAAAGTCAGTTTTGTCGAAGTCAGTTTTATATCCCATAAAAGTTGTCGATTGTAAATGTGCCATCCAGTGAGTTTTAGAAAATTTGGAGGGTGGCGTAGCCATTACCCTGATCCACATTGTGGATCTTTCCTCCACCCCCAAACGCTGCCGGTTTGGTATGAGTGTCTTTCTCCGGCCCACTTCTGGGCCGTCGCCGATCTGCTGTGTGTCTCCATCAGTCTGTCTTCCTGGCATGTCACAAAATGGGATGATACCGGATGCGCTGTTTTGCACCTGGCTTCTTTCACATAGCATGGCGTTTTGGACGTTCATCCAAATGGTAGCACGTATCAGCATCCTATTCCTTTTTATTGCTGAGTGATGTTCCATGGTGCGAACATACCACATTCTGTTTCCGCATTTACTGGTACGGTTTCCGGTTTGGGGCTGTGACGCACGTACGTGCCTTTGCCCGGGCCTGTGGTTTCATTTCTCACGCACGGGTTCCGAGGAATAGCATCGCGGGGTCATTTGGTGAGCCCACGGTTAACTTCTTAAGAATTTGCCAAAGCATTTGGTGAAGTGGCTGTACCATTCGCCACGCCCATCGGCGAGGTTTCCAATTTCTCCACATCCTGTCAACTCTTATTATGGCTAATCTTTTTGATCGTAGCCGTTCTAGTAGGTTGAAAGTTGCATTTCACTGTGGTTTTAATTTGCATTTTCCTAATGATTAATGATATTGAGCATCTTTTCACTGATTATTAACCATTTGTATACCTTCTTTGGAGAAATGTCTGTTCAGGTCATCTATCCATTTTTAATTGTTTTCATTTATTGAATTATAAGAGTTCTTTATATATGCTGGATATAAGTCTTTTATCAAAAATGATTTGCAGAGATTTTCTTACAGGCTGTGGTTTGTCTTCTCAATTTCTTACTGTCGTCTTTTGAAGTACAAAGCTTTTTACTTTTGACAAAGTCAGATTTGTCGTTTGTTTGTGGCTTTGGTGTTGAATCTAAGAACTCTTTGCCTGACCCAAGGTTGTGAAGGTTTTCATCTAAGAGCTTTATAGTTTTAACTCTTGCATTTACGTCTAGATCCATCTTGAATTAATTTTTGTGTACGATGTGAGGTAAATTAAAAAAAAACACCTAAAACGTTAAAAAAAATTAATGGACTTTATTTTTTTTAGAGCAGTTTTAGGTTTATAGAACTATGAAGCAGAAAGTACAGGGCATTCCCATCTCTCTCTCTCTCTCTCTCTCTCTCTCTCTCTCTCTCTCTCTCCCTCTCCCCCTGAAAGTCAAGTTCCCTTTGCAGAAACAGCAACTGTGCTGGCGTTGGCTCTGGCTGCAGTGAAGTTACATTCAGGGTAGAAAAATGGGAAGGATGCCACCGTCGCCTGTCTCGCTCTGCTGAGCAAGGTCATCGATGTTTTATGGGAAACGGGACTTAGTCTACTTGGGGCAAATGCAACTTTGCCATATTTGGACACAGGGAGCCCCCGTTAGAGTTGCTGAAACAAGCCCGCGTCCTAGAGCTGGGTCGGGTGGTCTCCCAGCCCATGTCCCCCGGGGCCGGGGAGAGCATGATGCTGCCCAGATGCGCCTCAGTGGTGCCAGGGGCTTCTGTGAGCCGCGCACGGTGACTGAGGGTCTCGGGGTCTGGGCACGTGAACAGCCTCGCTCTGCTCAGTCACCAGGTCTGCTGTCCGTCTTAGTGCCGTGATCTCA